TTTCAATATTCTAGGACCACTTGGCACTGAAGCATTTGTTCTTTGCTGTACCATGCCTAACCCAAACCAACATTTGACATCAATGGTCAAGGTCTGAAGCAAGAATATCCTTGAGGTCAAAACCAACAGATTATCCTGATGCTGTATTTCAGTTCCACTCTCTCTTTAACGCAGGGCTTCTCAACAGCAGTATTATTGACATCCTGAACCTGTTAATTCTTTGTTGCGGGGGTTGTCCTGTGCCTTACAGGATGTCTGAGCCTCTATCCATTAGATGCCACTAGGAACCTCCCCCAATGACTATAAAAAATGTATCCAGACATTGCCAAATGTCACCGGGGGGACAAAACTGCCCCCAGGTGAGAATCACCGCTGTGATGAACTAGAAGTGAGGGAATGTACCTGTCTGTGGTATATCAAGGCAAGACATATATCCATTCCTTTTGTAAAAAAACATAAAGTCTTGATTATTTTTGCATTATAGCAGGTAATCTATAGGATTAGCTCTATCTTGAGAGAAAGAAGATTGTATCACTTAACCAGTTTTTCAAACTTGTTTCACAAAATGAGATCTTTAAGTGAATGCAAGAATGAAGTCTTCTAGCTTTAGAATATCCAGGGATATATTTTCATAAATCTAGCCTGGAGCCAGTGGACACACCCTAGGCAGGCAGAGAGTAATAATACTGATATGATTTTAGATATTATCAGTGTTTCATTGGTGCCATTTTTACCTGTCTGGCAGGAAACCACAGTCCTGATCTCTCAGGATTCCCTGCCAAAACTTTATCAGGCTTTTGACTCCCCTCTCCCATCAAGACTGAAGCGGCAGAGAGGGGAGGGATCTCAGTCATTAGCTGGGAATGTTGCCCAAATGGAAGGGGGGAGGGGAGAGGTGTTGGTACACATGTGTATCCAACATGTACCTACACGACTGTGTGAGATCAGCAGGGGTGGGAGAGATGGTTCCAGACGCCAAGTGAGCAGACGGAGGCACATGTGTTCGAAGGCTGGGCTGTAGGGGATTGGCTGTTGTCACCTGAGCTCCTTCTGCAAACGCACACCTCGCTGCAGAGGTTTTAGTCAAAAGGCCATGTTTTAAAGTCAACCATATTCCTTGAGCAGATGTATATTACACACCTCCCTGGCATAGAGATTCAGGAATAGGAAGAGAAGAAAGGGAAAAGTGTAGCTAATTGAGCACCTGCTCTGTAATAAACACTTTCATATTTGATGAATGAATGTATGAGCCTTTAAGGAGAAAAAGAACCCACTGACTCTGATTGACTCTGATGTTAAGTATAATGGTGACAGGACAAGGCATTGTCCCATTGGCTGAGAAGGTCACCACAACCACTTAACTTCTGAAGTTTTAGCCTCACGCTGGCCTGTTATGCTCACCGCCACAGCAGTGGGATTTGAGGAGTTGATTGATGGTCTCCCAGCCATGCCTGGCTGTCTGCTCTTCTGAAAGGAGCTAGTTACCAGTGGTGGGCTTGTGTGTGGAGGCCCACCGCTCCACCGGCAGCACAAACAAGCCCCACTCGGCCCAGGCAAGAATGCAGGCCCTGTTCTTGGCACCATTCCTGGAAACGAAGAACAGGCTTCTTTATTCCAGTCTCCAGGCTTCTGGCTAGCAAGGAACACTGCCCGGCTGTGAAGCATTTTATAGGATTATAACGGGTTGTGCTGAAGGCGAGTTCTGAAAGGCACTTTGTGCCATTGCTTTGAGTGAAGCTGACTGTTAGGGCAGTGTTGTTCCTAAGCCCATAAACACACACACAGGCAGGATGGGGAATGCCGGGCTCCTGGGGCCCACTCAGCTGGGCAGCACTGCAGAGTTGGACTGGCTTCCCTCAGTTGGGACACCAGCCTCAGGGGTATGCTTGGGAACCTTCCTGTAGGGCAGCCTGCTTTCTGACAAAGTCTTTGGCCACAGACACCTCTGGGTGGAATCCTAGGCAGAATACCCAAACCCCAAACCTGCTAATGTTGGAGCAGAGCATCACACACGGGAGAGGTTCTGAAGTCAGGGCACAAGGTGGACATTGCATGGGGTCAACAATACCCTTGAAAAAATTTTGAATGTCTCAAGGACCACATACATACATGGCTTGCATATACACCCCAGATTGCCAGCTTCAGTATACAGGCCTTATTGTACCAAAAAATATATGTATTTAAACACCAGAGCCCTATTTATGGTGGTGAGACATCCATGCTTTGAGAAGCTTAGAAGCATCAGACCAGCCAAGGGAACTCCAGATCCCCATCTTTCCTTTCACACTCATTTGGGAGCTTATGCTTTTTTTTTTTTTCCAGCACTATGTAAATGGCCATTAGCAATCTCTCTGTCTCCATTTCTCTCTCTCTCTCTCTCTCTCTCCCCCTCCCTCCTTCCCTGCCTAGCATATATAGGAGAAAACACAGAAGTTTGCTACACATATGTTCTGTGGCCATGTATATTAATTGATTTTTATTGTTCCATATCTTTGGGGGGGAGGGATGTTATGAGAGAAAGTGGATATAGCAGCCTTCCCATCAACCAATATGACTATTCTTTGCTCTATAATAGTTGTACTTAAACATGAGGCTAAAGTCCCCACTTTTCCATAGGGTTTCTGTATTGCTACATTGGACTTACAGTATGTCAGACTCCCTGCCCAGCCCTGAGGATCCCGCAGTGAATGGACCAGTCGAAGTTTGCTAGGGTCACTCTTTTCCTTATCGAGTGCTGGAAGTGCACTTCCCAACTGGAGGATAAGGCCTAGTGAACTCCACCAGGGACCAAAGCTTGTCCCCAAAGGGGCTGTGGCTGATCAGATCGACCTGTTGAGATGGTGGGCCTGAGGGGGCCAGAGGAGCAGGAAGAAGACAGGAACAAGGAGCAGCTCCAGGTGCTTCAGCTCATATCCTCAGCAGCCAGGGGAGCTCTGAGTGAGGCATGTCACTGCCTCTCCTGGCCCTCCTTTGGCTCCAGAATTAATCAGGGGCTGTGTTATTTGGGTGCCTTTGGAGATGAGGTTCCCTTCATGCCCCCACCAAGCTTGGTCAAGCTCACAGGGAGCACTTACATAAGCTCCCCAATCAGCACAGCTCGGGTTAATAAATGAAGTCGTGTTCAGGAATACAGATAGAAAAAAATCAGTGGTCCAGAGGTATCTTTCTCACTGCAAACCTCTTCTTCGATCACCTCCTTCCCACTGCTTTAGGGTCTATATTTGAGGGGGAAAAAAACTTTAGGTGTTTTCTCCAATCTCAGTTGGAACCCACTACTTCAGGAGTCTGCTTTACATGGGTGGCAATAATGGGGCTGGCAAAACTAGCCAGATTCTCCCTTTTCTGAAGGCAGTTTGTCCACACTAGCTGGACAGGAAAAGTAGGTGAATTTACTGCCAGGGTGTGGGTTTGGTACCTGGGATGAAACATCTATGTATTTTGAGGTTTCCTGCCTGGAAAGTGGAAACTGGATTCTGGCCTTAGCTGGAAGCAGAGAACACTGTAACAAGGTCTAGATAGTTCCACTCCCATTGCCTTCTGTACACCTAAGAAGTCGAAACAAAAGACATCGACTCCCCAGACCACCACCTGCTGTGGTCATGACTTTGATGGGGGGGGGGGGGGGAGAGCAGGGAGTAGAATTTCAACAGTGCAGTCTACAAAATAACTTTTGAGACAATGATCGTTTTAATATTTAAAAAAATAACTTCTAATTTCCCAAGTAACACAAATATATTTTTCTTGTAAAAATTTTCAGAACATGAGCTATAAATTTAAAGTCTGGTATGGATTGCCTCCCTGAGCCCCAAGGGGACTTATAAATTTGCTCTGCACCCCTCTGGATGGTTTTCAATAGTATTTACTTACAGTTTGCTATAGAAAATACATGGTATTATGTAAATGTGTTTTCAACACAAATGGTTATTATACTGTGCGTACTCTGCAGTTTGTCTTTTAACTGAACATAATACATACACTGGAGATCTTTCTATACCACACCCTGGACCCATCTTCTTTTTGACTGCTGCTGAGTGGGATTTTATAGGGAGGAGAATTTATTCAATAATTCCCTGTTGATGGATATTACAGTTGTTTCCAGTTTGGGGGTTTTGTTTGTTTGCTTTTTACTGTTCCAGACTGGGCTGAAGCAAATGATCTTAGAATTGCCTATTGGACATTTACAATAAGGCATGGTATATATAGCCCACCTTGTCCAGCTGCACAGCCTCATCTTGAACAGACCCTTCCAGATCGCCCTTCTGAGCGGCTGACAGACACTAATCAGCCTCTTCATATTTTAAAATGAGTACAGAGGAAGGCACCCAAGAAAGTCTCTGGAAGTGGTGGAAATATATTTTCTGATTGTGGGAGTGGCTACGTGAGTGTTTACATTTGTCAATACTCAACTAAATGTACACTTAAAGGGGGCACATCTTACTGTTTATAGATTATACTCCACTGACGTTAAGACATTCATTTAAAAAAAAAGTGTCGGGGGTCTCTCTCGCGACTGGCTGGGAATAAGGCAAGACAGGATACTACCTCTTCTTAACGCGGCTTTTAAAACGCTGGCTTTTCCTTCCACCGGGTCTCCTCTCTACTCGCCGCCTTTTCCACTCCCAGAGTGCGGGGGAGTTGTTGCACCGATGGCCTCGGGCCTCGGGCTCGCGGAAGGAAAAGACCCACTGCAGAATCGCCCCTCTCCTTGCTGGGGGTTTCCGCGGGGCGGTACCTGGGCGTTCCGAGGACGCGCCGGGGCGGGGCCGAGGCGGGGCCCCGCCCCGCTCCAGATGGGCGGGCCCGCAGGAGGCTCCGCCCCCTTCAGCCGGAGAGCCGAGTCGCTCCCACCCGGCAAGAAGCCGGCTGTCAGTCTCCGTAGCGCCGCTGCCGCCGGGCACCGTGGAGCTGGGGCCTCCTTTCGCCTGGGAGTTTTGTGGTCGCCTTGGGTCAGCGGTGACATCCCAAAGAGCAGGCCCGGCAGCCACCATGGTGGCCAAGGATTACCCCTTCTACCTCACGGTCAAGAGGGCGAACTGCAGCCTGGAGGTAGCCCCAGCCAGCAGTCCGGTCAAGGATGCCGAGGTAGGGTCTCCACCTGGACTTCTCCGGTCCATCTGTCAGTCCCTCTGTCTGTCTCCATCTCCCACTCCCTCGACTCCCTCTGTCAATCGCTCTCTGCCTGCATCTTTCATTCAGTGTGTTCCTCTTTTTCTCTCTCTCTCCCTCTGCTTCTCCCATTCCCTCTCTCTGTCCCCATTTCTCCCACTCACTGTCTGCCTCCTTTTTGCCCCTTCTCTGTAGATCATCATGAACCTCCTCCCCTGTCCCTGTCCCTCTTCCCCTTGGCCAGGGAGCAGCTGACCTCCTTACCCTTGCCTTTCTTACATCCTGCAGGGCTCTCAGACTGTGAGTCTTCTGTCTAGACCCAGCAGAGAGACTTTGTCTTACCGTATCCTTAGGCCCAGATGTCATCCAAGAGCTACCCTTCAAGCTTGGGTTTTCTCTTGCCTGGGTTGGGAAGCAAGAGAAGGCCTTTGGGAGCCATCTCACCTGTCAGGCTTGACCTCACAGTTGTTTGGCAGTAAGGACAGTTCCTGGCACCTCTTCTTGTTATCTTTGGCCATTGGGGTCATTGAGCCAGGGATCCGGGGGCTAAATAAGAAATCTGAGTGTCTTGTACATGGATCCTGAAAATGAATTAAACTCCTTGAGGGCAGGGGGAAGCTGTCTCGGAGCACTGGAAACAATTATCTTTTGGGGAACTTTCCGCTGCCTTATTGGTGACCTGAAGGAGTCCTCCTGGCTTTTGTTTAGTCTTGCCTTTTACTTCTGTGTATTATGAGCTCAAAACGTTGGGTTCAACTAGAGAAGAAAACATCATTCTCTGCCTTTAAGGGTCTTAGGGAATATGGTTGCTTCTTCTCTGCCTTTAAGGGTCTTCTCTGCCTTAAGGGTCTTCTTCTCTGTCTTTAAGGGTCTTAGGGAATATAGTTGCTTCCATTAGACCACAGCTTTGCTGTGGCTGAGCTGTAGTGGAACCCACAGGACCCAGCTCATCACTGTGCCCAACCACGACTGGGGAAAGTCTGGAGGCAGATGTGCACCTGATCTTGTCACAGTATTCTGAAGGGTTGTACCTACCCAGCACCCTTGGGTCTACTTAGCTGTGTGCGCTTGGCTCACTAAATTATGTATGTTTGGGAGGACAGCATCAAAGATTCATTGCCACTAACAAGAGCTGCTCCAAGCTGACAAGACTCCAGACAGTCTCTCGCTGTAATCAGCTTTCTGTAAGCTGAGCACAACTAACTTCTCACCCCCACCCCACACTCCAGCTTAGCTGTATATTTTCACAAAGAGTTTTTGTTCCTAGCAGCTGTTTCTACAGTGTGATGGCCTTAATGGTGTTTGAATTTTTATGTAAGTTTGGACAAGATAGCACCAGCATACAGTTCAGGTTATTTGGACTTGGAATAGATATAATGATTTTTCCATAGGAACTTCATAATTTAATGAATATAGGAGCAGTGAAGCTAGTGCCCCCTCAAACCCCTTTTCAAGGAAGCAAATCATAACCAAGTTTAATAAGTTGAAATGAATGAAAGGAAAGAATAGTGAAAATAGCTCTGGACCCCAACCAGTACCTTCTTGCCATCCCTTAATCCAATGTTTTCTGAGCAGTTTGGCAAAAAGCTTAGGTAAAACTCATCTGCTTGATCTTTTCTTATACGTAGAATATAAATATATCTGTATATGACAAATGTGATGAAAGAAATGTATCACCAAATGTCAAATATTAATTTTCTTTATGGTAACCAGATACAGATTTTTAAAAATGTGACTTATTTTCCTTTTATGGGGATATCTTGGTATGGGAGTAAGGATGGGGAAAGAACAATTTTGAAAATGGTATCACCATTGAGGAGTGTGTGTGTGTGTGTGTGTGTGTGTGTGTGTGCGCGCGCGCGCGCACGCACGTGCACGTAGTTTAAATCAGAAGGATCATGTATGCTCTATACATCTTGAGGCAGGAATGTCCAGTCCCATGCACCTCCTAGCTTCATTTCCTGATAACGGCAATAGGCAAAGTGGGAAAAAGAAACCAAAGTGAATTTAGGGGGTAGTTTTCTGGTTTCATTATCCATGCAAAAGACAAGTCAACCCTTGTAGGCCTTACTTCTCCATAAGCAATTAACTAAAATATATTTTCTACCAGCAGGTGTCATCAGTATTTGTAAGTGTTTAAAGAACAGCATACCCTGGTATGCCTTTTGAAAAACGTGATACATGTTTATAAACTAATCATTGACTGGTAATTTCTATGAAAGTAATTTTTTTAAGATTGGTCATTTTTGTCCAAAAATAAGGTGGTTATAAAGAGAAGAACTGGCTTCTCCAAAGTGCTTTTGACCTTCAGAGGCAGAGAAGCACCTGTGCCCTTTAGACATATAATGGCCATTCCTTTGGAATTTGCTATGGGAGGAGCACTGCACAGGCAAGTACCTTCTAGCATGGCTCTTGTGGTTGCAGCAGGCGTGCTGGGGAAAGCCGTTTAGGGAAAGCCTTGTGGGGAAGGGGCTGGTGTACAGTGATGTGCATTTGATACCATACACTTGAGTTAAAAATCTGCAACAGTAAATATTCTCTTAAATGCAAATCATAACATTTCTAATTGAGATTTAAATGCTTTGTAATTTTTTAAATTTTGGCAATGGTTTCCAGTGAAAGGAAAAAGGTGATATATTTTTAAATATCATTTCATTTTCTTTAAAATAAATATTTTCTTTAAAATATTTATTTAAAAGATGTTTTAATGTTTATTTTATTATTTTGGGGGGGGGCGGAGAGAGAGAGAGAGAGAGAGGGCATGAGTGGGGATGGGTTAGAGAGCAAGAGGGGACACAGAATCTGAAACAGGCTCCAGGCTCTGAGCTATTAGCAGAGAGCCGGATGTGGGGCTCGAACTCAGGAACATTGAGATCATGCCCTGAGCTGAAGTCGGGCACTTAACTGACTGAGCCACCCAGGTGCCCCTAAAATATTTATTTTAAAGATGAAAATCATTATGCATGGATTATGATATTAATATAATACTGCTTCTTAATCTGGTTATTTCTTTATGGCATGGATATGTGAGTTGGGTTGCAAGTGTTTAATTTTAATACCCATAACCAGCGAGGTCTTCCAGCTCAAATAATTAACTCTGAAATCCAAGGAGCGTAGTCCATTTTTTAAATTTTTTTTTTATTTATTTTTTGAGAGAGAGAGAGAGAGAGAGACAAAGCATGAGCTGGGGAGCGGCAGAGAGAGACAGAAACATAGAATCTGAAGCAGGCTCCAGGCTGTCAGGACAGAGCTAGACTTGGGGCTGGAACTCATGAACTGCGAGATCATGTCGTGAGCTGAAGTTGGCCGCTTAACCGACTGAGCCACCCAGGTGCCCCAAGCTTAGTCCATTTTAGTCCATGGATCTAGACTTTCACAGAGAAGCATGGTATCACATGAGCATCGTTAAGCTTGCTTCTTCTGATCATTGATGTAGTTTCACTCAATTTATCTGTTTTCCTATTTATTGGGTGCTTATTCCCAGGCCAGAAGGAACTGGTCCTTCTGGGCATGTCAGATGCTCTGAACACTTGATCCAAGTCACTAGAAGGAAAGCTGTTAGCTATTAATGAATTATACTGATTGTAAGTTTAAAGCCACTATTTCCACATGGTGAAGTTTGCTTTTAAAGAAGGCTCTGTGGGCACTGGGTGGCTCAGTCAGTTAAGTGTCAGGTTGTGATCTCACAGTTTGTGAATTCAAACCCACATTGGGCTCTGTGCTGACACAGCTCAGAGCCTGGAACCTACTTCAGATTCTATTGTCTCCCTCTCTCTGCCCCTCCCCTGCTTGTGCTCTGTCTCTTTCTCTCTCTCTCAAAAATAAACAAACATTAGAAAAAAATAAAGGTGGCTCAAATGAATGGATATGTTGGCTAAGTATGCTGGAGCCTGATGAGAAGGTTTTAAGAGTTTGGGGTCAATCTCATTTTTAATGATAGTACAAAGAGATGTTTCTATTATTTTCTTTCTAACACTATATCTGACAGTTTGATGGACAGCTCACTTTGGGTTTTAAGATTCACTATTTCAGATGTTGGTCAGGATTAGGCTAGATTTAGTTAGCAGTATTTGTAATCATTGCCTTTGTCTCTTAAAAGTACATGATCTGATTTTGATTCAGCCAGTAGACTTGTGTGGCCCTTGGAATGACATGTATCTAGAAATGACAGAGCTCTATTCCTTTTCTAAATACCTTTTCTAAATACCACATCTAGTGTCTCACTTGAGACCTAAGCCATGTTGTAGGGTCAACATAAAGTACATTATTTTTTTCCTCACTTTATGAATAAAGACACTGAGGGGAAGTGACTTACAGAAAGTCATGAAGAAAACCAGCCGCTGAACTTGAGAGCCAATGCCAGGTTTTCTGATGGATTTAGTCCAGCATTTCATACTAGTGTACCTGGTGGCATCTAAGGGTGTTTACCTCTGTGAAGAAGGAGGGAGGGGAATGAATACTTAACAGACATATAAAATGCTTTAAAATATTTTCTTTTAAGTATATAATCATGAATACTTTATGGAACTGGGGTGAACCCTATGTCCCTGCCATAATTTATGCCCCAGTCAGTCCACATATGGACTTGAAAATTGTATGCACCTGGGGCTGTACTCCTTGCGTGCCAGCTGGAGAGCTAAAGAAGTCAAATGGTTTCCAGTAATTTATACATTTCTTGGAATCTGTATCATATAGTGTTGAACTGACAGTATATATAACCAATTGCATGGAAATAGTTCTGAGGAGTTATTGCAGTTAGAATCCTGGTAGTTCTTCAAGTGACTAAACAAATAGATGCCATGAATTGTGTGACTTTAGATCTTGCTGGGAGGGGAGTAACGTAGAGTTACTCGGGTAAAGGCCATTGCTTGCTGATAGCATCTGATTTTGGTCATCCAGCCATGATTCTGAAGCTTGTTCAGATGGGTCTTGGGCCTCCAGAATAGGATGTACGTGAACTAGGAATAGATATATTA